TTCTTCTCTGAGTTGAATTGATGTTTATTCATATATCAAATATAAAATATCAATATTAATAAACTATAATTGAGGGCTATTAATATTAATAAACTATTAATTGAGGGTGGATTGATGTTTTGGTGGTGGTGTGTTGTTGGAGTTCAACTAGTGTGTGAGAGAGAACATTGATATAAATGAAAATAAAAAATAAAGATAATATATCTATGAATAAAAATAGTTTTAAAATAATGTTATGATCCCAAATAATGAATATTTTGAAGTAGGTCCAAACCGTGATTTTTGTTCATTTTTCTTTTGCCTCAATTTTTTCTTTTTGTTTTGAGTCCTTTTTGTGTTGGTTCTATTAAGTTTTATCTATAGCCTACCCCAATTTGCTTGGCATAAAAATGCTATGTTATTGCTGTTGTAATCATACTTAGATTATCTAAACCATCATGTAGTAAACGTTGCAGAGTTCATCTCACTGGAACTATTATATTATTACAATTTGAATAAAGTAGAATTGCATTTCAGACGTGATCTTTTTTAGAAAAATAAAAATAAAATAAATATAGCCCTTCTCTAATACAGGATGATTTAATATTTTAAAATCAATGTTCCAATTTATATTGGAATGAAAAATACACAACATTCAAATTGATAAAAAATTGACACATAATATAATATGATATAAAATGTATTACCACACAAAATGACTCACATACCGCCCCTAGATATCCCAAATTTTTTTTTTCTTTTTTTCACAAACAACACCACAGAGGTAGGAATTAAGGCCGAACCACCAACCTGAATATAAAAATGCCCTAAATAAGTTGAAAAATTACAAGACTATAAGTTCAATGTATGATATACATCAAGGCTAACGAAAAAAAAAAAGGTAAAGAAATATACAAGGAAAAGCTAACAACTGCAGCGAGAAATAAAAAAATAACAGATCCTGGTCTGGGAGAGTCTCGGCCAAAAGGTCAATATCACAGTGTGGCAGATGCACCAAAAAGTAGGACAGACTACACAAATCTGAATGAAGGGTATTTCATCTGGTCCATCCGTATGAGAGTGCGGAGGCTGAAAAGAATATCGTATGTGTAAAGAATGCGTCTCTGAGGAGTGGAAGACCTGATGTCAGTGAGGAAGTCAGCATATTGATTCCCCTCGCGGAAGATTTGCGAGATCCGAAAATGAATCGACAAAAGGGATACCCCTCGCGGAAGATGTGTCAGGAGATGTGCTAGATTTCCCGAAGGTTAAGTAAACATATATCTCTACACAGTTCTATTCCTTTTAAAACTATTAATTATCAGCTGGCCCGAAATTCAAATAACTCAAAGCAGGCCATTATTGTCTTCACCATAATATCCCACATGTGACCTGCTTGAAAAGGTAACATACTGTACAACTCATTTCCTTATCGCCGAAGAAATGTATGACTGTATGAGTCATTCTAAGTTTCTAACAATGACAAGGACAAAAGTTCAATATATATACCAAAAAGCACTTCCCACAAGTCTCGGCCGGAGGTTCCATGGTTTGTCCTCAATCTACATCTTGCTTTAGTATACACTAATAACGTTTGCAATTAGCTCATACAATAACCCCCTCACACCATTTGTACCTCCACATTATAGTAATCAACAACAAAAACTATCCAACCTAAATAGTATTATAAGACAAGCCAATTCATCTCCATCCTCTTTAACATATCACTTCCATAGCCAGCCCCAAACCACTCAATGCATGCCCCCAAGGAATACGAACACTCCTCGGCCCGTGACGAGCCAACCGGCCCACAAAACGAGCCCGTACTAGTCCCCGGACTACCTGCCCATCTAGCCCTCCTTTGCCTTTCACCTCTCAAACCTTCTCTACTGTACAAAGTATGCAAGCCTTGGCGCAGCCTCATCTACTCTCCCGATTTCCCCCCTTTTTTCGCTCTCTACGCCGTCCTCAGCCAAGTCTCGGCCCGGCCCGTCTCGTCCGATCCCGACTCGATATGGGCCCGGGGCTGCCACTCCAACTCGATCAGCCTCGCCTGCTTCGACCCCATCTCGGCCAAGTGGCGGGACCTTCCAGGCCCGCCGCTCGGCCCATCCCCCCACCTTATCCTACG